CAACAGCTCTGTGAGACAGGTGGAATTACAGTTGCTATTTTCAAGGAGAGAGAGCTGAAACTGAGAGGCCTATTAAATTCACGTCACACAATTAATAGATGGCAGAGCATGAATATGAACTCATGTTTGCCTAACTTCAAAGCCTCTGCTCAGGACTGTGTTCTTACTTGCTATATGGACGTAAGCAAATCATTTAATCTCTTTGAAGCTCTCTTTCCCCATCTGTAAAAATTTTGATAGTGGTAAAGAATGATAAAGTGCCTCCAAAGTCCCTGACTTACTTGTTAGTGCTCTGTAAATAGTCCAGTTTACTTTTTTCTGGGTCATTTCTTTCTCTGGGCAGAAAAAGACTATGTGAGAGGAGCTCTTTCTCTAAAATGATGGAAGAAAATTTACCTTTTAGCATTTCCTAGTTAAAGTAAAATGGGAGAAGTGCAAGTCTGATATCTATGATGTCTTTTTTCCCTTTCATTCCCCTCCCCCTCCCCTTCCCCCACAGAGTCTATCCATCTGCATCAATAAACAGAAGCTCAGAGGTAGTTCCAACATGTGCAGCCATGTACGCTTGCTACTTAAGGGAGACCACAAAGCAGTGTTTTTAAAGAAGCATACAGCTACAGTTAAGTTTATGGAAAATTGGACAGCAGTACTGAAAAATGCACTTAAAGATCAAAAGAGAAGCATTTGCTTGTGATTAGTTTGATTTATACTGGGCTTGACCCAGGAGCTTCCCACAACTGCTTCCTTCCTACAAATTGTGCATTTATGAAATACACACACCCTTATGGCTGTCATATATTATGTATAAGGTTTACTGATGACAGAAACTTATTACTGCTTCAAACAAATGCAGGCTATTTAGCTTGCAAAAACAAAAAGTGAACTATGCAAATAATGGGTGACCTTGTAGTTTTTTCTTAGCTGCTCACAATTCATAAAAATGCTACATAATACCCAATTGAGGGGGGAAATTTATCTTTGTAATGAGTGCATGGCTTGAGGAAGTGGTCCTGGGGATAAATGAAGCTCAGGAGTATTCAGTGAGATGTGAGATGCGACCTTTAACAAGTTTTATATTTGGTTCTAGGCAATGGGCCTTTCCCACTATACATACAGCATTAGTTCAAGTTCAGGCTCTTCATGATCTTTAAATCATGTAAGTAGGAAGCCTGAGTATTGAATAATAATGATAGAGATTAAGAAGTTAATGTAAAAAAGCCAAGACAACATTACTAAGTTCAAAAAACTGTAGATAAAAATGAGTTTGTTTGACAGTTTAAATAATAATGAAAGATTATACAGATGGTGATGGGTAATTGTTTCTATTTTTGACAGTTTATTGAGAAAGAGTTGAGATTAAATATAATTAAGCCCTTTGTCTTGGCCGGTGTTGCTCAGTGGTTAGAGTGTCAGCCTGGCACCAAAGAGTCTCGAGTTCAGTTCCCCGTCAAGAGCAGGTACCCAGGTTGCAGGTTTGATCTTGGCTCTTGTTGGGGCACATGCATTGATGTGTCTTTCTCACATCGATGTTTCTTTCTCTCCCTCTCCCTCTTCCACTCTCTCTAAAAAATAAATGGAAAAAATATACTTGGGTGAAGATTTACAAAAAACAACCATTTATATATATTTATATATAATTAAGCTCTTCCTAATACTTGTTCAATGAAGTTGCCATGGGGAGTTGTGCTATTACTTTGGAAGTCCTAGGAAGAATACATTACTAACTATCCAAACTGCATTTACTTTGTCCTATTGGAAATATTGTTTGATTTTTGACCTTACTGAAATCAGTTCAGCCTAATTAATTGAAGATTATCATTTTGAGATTATAATCTGTTGTTCTTTCTTTGGTGAATTAAGTATACTTCTAGAATTTAGTATATTAAACTGATGCACTGATTTATTGATTTCTTCTTTACTACAGTTTAATCAGATATTTTCTGATATCTACAGTAGTCAAGGCTCTTGGAAAACAGCAAATTATAAAACATGATCCCTGACCTTATGGTGCTTGTTTTGAAGTTAGAAACCAGTGGCGACAGATTATAGATGGTTTGTATTTCAGGCTTTGGCTTTATTCTACATTGTAGAAGCAGAAGATATTTGGAGTTTTTTCACCCTCATTTTATAAGTAGTTGACATGATTGGAGTCCCAGTGTGAAATAGGAGTAGGGCCACCATTATGGAAATACAAAGGTGGAGGAGGGGCGGGAGGAATATGGAGAGTCTTGCAGTAGGCTGTAGGCAAGATCAAGGTGACAGGTGATCGGGGTGTGGACTAGCATGGGAGAGGAATGGAAGGAGGCAGAATTCACAGGAGCTGTAGGATTCCTGTGCTCTACTATCGGAAAATAAGGTGTTAGAGTAAAGCAACCTTAAAAACATAATTCTGAGAAGTTGGTTTTGAAAATCTTGAGGCCATAGGAGCTCAGAATCTAGTTAGGCAACCTGAACAAAGGGGTAAGAAAAGTTTTATCTGGTTATGACATTGGATTTGATTATTTTCTTTCTGCATTTTTTACTACCTTTATATTACTACAAGACTGGGAGTATTTAAATTGCTTTTGTTAGATACATTTAGAGAAACTTTCCATAGGTTTCATTATTTCTATGGTAAGGCTACTTTATGTTAGGAAAGGTGAGGTAATTAGCTGTATTCTCTCTCTTTTTTCAATGCTTGCCTTTCTTGGCTAAAATAAAATCTAGGGTAAATTATGTTTATACTTTTTTATACTCATTATTCAAATTTCAATTCATTTGCTGATTTTAATGGGGAATAAATGTCCATTTGCACTGCCAACAGGGTCTTTAAAATTCGACTCCTATTTTGGGATTAGATCTATACCTTTGTGCAGATAGCTCACAGATAGGTGAACTTTTAAAACTTGGAAGGGACCTTAGGAAGGCCTTTGAGATCATCTAGTACAGCACCCATGTTTCTCAGATTAGTAATCTGAGGTCAAGAGAATAGTAATAATAGTTAGCATTTATTGAGCTATAATCTCACATAGTCATTATAACAATCCTGTGAATAACTACTACAGAAAACTGCTGACTTTAGGAACTGTTTTTTTTGTAAATGTCTTTCACAAGAGAAGAACAATTAGTATTTCTGTGTTAAATGATTTTTAAGATATTTAAATGAATAAAGAAATGCTAATTATTAAAAGAGGGTCCACACCCATTATTTAATATATAGTCATGAACTGCTTAACGACTGGGATCCATTCTAAAAAATGTGTTGTTAGGTGATTTCATTGTTGGGCAAATATCCTGGAGTGTACAAACCTACATGGTATAGCCTGCTACACCTAGGCTCTATGGTATAGCTATTGCTCCTAGGCTACAAGCCTGTACAGCATGTCACTGTACAAAACAACACAAGGTTAAATCAAGCACAAGAGAAAGAAATGCAGTCAGGAGATGTCTGAGGTTGTTGCTGGCCTAATGTGGCATAATATTTTATAGCAAACTTTTTTTTTTTATAAGTACAAAGAGTAAACTCTAACAATAAAAAGGTGCAGTATAGTAAATACATAAATCAGTAACATAGTTGTGTATCATCATTATCAAGTATTAAGTACTGTACATAATTGTATATGTTCTACTTTTATAAGACTAGCTGCACAGTAGGTTTGTTTTCACCAGCATCACCACCAACACATGAATAATTAATTCCTTGGGCTAAACTGTTACCGCAGCTACGATGTCACTAGGGGATAGGAATTTTTCAGTTTCATTATAATCTTGCGGGACCACTGCTACCTGTGCGATCGTTGTTGACCAAAATGCACTTATGGAGTGCATGACTATAGTAAAACCATATCACTTAATGTATTGTTAATTTAAAAGACTTTTTCCTAAATCCCAAATACACACACATCCCTTTTATATTTTAATAAATATATCTGCCTATACATTATTTTAAAATATATGTAATAAGGTTCTATCTTAATTCTTTTCTTCTTGATCCTGTGATCCTGAAGTCCACTTCATTTAATTTTCATTAAACTTTGGAACTACTTTGACAATCATACAATATATGTAATAAAAGGTGTGTATATGTTATAAGAATGTTGATAAGTTTTATATGAGTCTGCAAGTCTTATTTTTTTAGTGTCAACATTTCATTAATTTTTTTTTTTTACCTTCAAATATCTGGGCAGCTGAAAGGAGTTGTTTTTATCAGTACAAAAATGACAACAAAATCACTATATACTATGTATGTGAGAGAGAATGTTTCATTTTAAAGGTCTGAAATATTTTTTACACCTTATATCTGTTAAATTTTACATATCCTTGCTCAAATAGATATTTTTTCTATATAGAAAAATTTCTAGTAGAAAATTTTTTAGAGAAGGAAAGAAAGATTGGAGATTAAAGACTGTGGTACACAAAACAGTCTGACAGTCTCAGGCACACTGGTTTCCTTCCTTGCCTGCTAAACACCTAGAGCAGGAAACATCCAGTATAAAAGCTATCTGGGCCTGTGATCTGAAAGAATTCAACCCCCCAAATACTGGATATGAATGGGACTCAATGGGAAGGATTGTTCAGTAGATCCTCCCATTTGTGTTTCTTTTTGTGCTCAAACAAAAATACAGCTGTCTAAAGAGTTTTAAAAATTACTTCTAAAAGCGTATTAAATACCCTATCCAGCTTACAGTCTTCTTCTTGTGCTAATATATAGTTTCCTTGGCTACTTCTCTTACTCATTTGTAACAATCGCACTCTACTGTTACACAGTAAAGAAATGGAGAAATTATCAGGGAACCTTTCTCATAAAATTATTTTAGTTTTATAGAGCAAATAAGAATTTAAGAAAATAAACATGAATGTTACTTAAATTTTAACTTTACCTGTTAAACAAGATAATTTTTCTTACTTTGTCTAATAGTAAAGTAATATACTTTTCTTATGATGTTAGCAAAGGTATAATTTTCATCTGTGTTTATTATTTCTTAATAAGTGACACTCCTAATTATATTTATTTATTACAGCTAAAAGATGGTGGCAAAGCATCGCAGGCAAATGTGAGAATAGGTGACGTGCTTCTCAGCATTGATGGAATAAGTGCCCATGGAATGACTCACCTGGAAGCCCAGAACAAGATTAAGGGTTGCACAGGCTCTTTGAATATGACTCTGCAAAGGTAAATTGCTTTTTGTTTGGCTCTGAGACAGAAAATAACACTGGCAAATGTGTTTTTGTGTGTCTGATTCATACTCTTAACTAGAAAGCAGTTTTTACTACGCTGTTTTCAGATGAATAAAAAATATGATACTCTTAAATTGAGTTGTTGCGCAGCATAAAAATTGGTGAAAGCTTTGGATTATTTCTCCATAAAAAGGCATGTATTCACATACAAAAATAGTGTGTGCAGCTCAGTGAGTTTAAGAATTCCTGAAATTTCTCAGTGGAGCGCAGGCTAAGAAGTCTTACTATTGGGTAAAACCCTTTGCTTTAATATTCTGGGCATTATATTAGAGGGTATTCTTTTAAGTATGATTTGACTTTTCTTGGCATGTCTTTTCTCTTTGCTTCCTTGGGTAGAAAAATAATTTTTTAAGATATGAAGTCCAGATTTTCTGAACTTTTATTTTTAAAGTTACCTGGCCTCAATTATGAAACAGCTAATTCTCTCTTTGATGATAATATGTCAGGCATTTTGAATGTCTCAACATTTGACCTACATTGAAATCATCTGGATTGCTTATTAAAAATACTGATAGGAATCAGAATATCTGCAAGTAAGAACCAAGAATTTTATATACATTTAATCCTCATCTGAGGACATGTTTTATTGATTTGAGAGAGAGAGAAAGAGAAAGAGAAAGAGAAACATTGCTGTGTGAGAGAACATTGATTGGTTGCCTTCCTTACACTCCCCGACCGGGGACGAAACCCACAACCTAGGTATGAGCCCTGACTGGGAATCGAACCCGCAATCTTTCGGTATACAGGAACAACCCTCCAACCAGCTGAGCCACACCAGCCAGGGCCAAGAATTATATTTTCATAAGTTCCCTGTGATTATTATGAATTCTAAAGGTAGAACCACTGCAGTATCTTGGGCTATGGGGAGGGGAAAGAAGAAGTGAAGAGAGGGTGATTGAGTGTACAGGTCTTGTTTTTAATGATTGCAAAAGTGTTTCTATTCTATAAAATTTGGAAAACACCTTTTTCCCCCCAAAACATCTCAAAGTCTTCCATAAATTATCTTGTGTATTGTAAATCTTTTAAGAGGGGAATAACGTATGTGGTGCCTTCCAAAGGTATCTAGCTATGTAGCCTTTTTTGAGTTTCTCCTGGAACTATTTAAAGGATATATACAGGGTAAATTATATGTACTTGTCTGGAGGAATATCGATTTGTCTTAAAACTGAATAGTAAAATTTTTTATGAACTTAGACTTAAAGATTTACTTTTATGGCTTTCTAACCATTTTCTTTTTTTCTCCCCTTGAGAGAAATTCCTTTCAGTGGGACTGTTGAGTAAAAAGTTGTGTGTATTTAAATTTTGATAACTATTAGCTATACATTTTAATGCCTATAAAAGTAATCAATGTGAAACATAACCTTGTTAAAATGTTCTATTTTGATAGTATCCTTTCTGCCTGTAAATGAAAGTACTCATTTTTATTTATGGGCATTTTTACTAAGTATGATTTTGAAAGGGAACCAAGAAGTCAAGAAGCTTAACGTGTGAAATATCAACAAAACAAAACAAATACAGATGATGGTCTGTTTCTCAAATTCTAAAGTTGAAAGTTTATGTTGGGTATAAGCTCTTTTCTTGGGCATCATTTCTTTCCTACTAGCCTACTTGTTTTCACATTGTGCTCCCTATTTTATGACCCAGGATCCAGTATCTTATTTCCTATTGAAACCACTTCTAGGTCCCATAAGAAGAGATGAAGACCAGAGGTTTCCCTGTTTGGGTACATTTCCAGTTTGAGTAGTAATCTGCTACTGCTTCTAATAAAGATTCTTTTAAGCTACTTAAATACATTAATCTTGTCTTCATATTTCTGAATAATGACATTCAGGGACTCAAAGTAGGAGAGAGAACTTTAGGGTCCTATTGTAATTCATTGTAATTCTCAAGTTTTTGAATGGTTCTTGTGTTAGGTAACGTCAGCCTGAAAAGAGATTTGCATTCAAGAAAATTCATGGTATGACGTTGGCAGTGCTACTGAAGAAATACTTTTTGCCTTTTAAGGAAAAATAAAACCTGGCAGAGTTTTCTTCAGTTCTTCCCTATACTAGGGCCATTCTCCTCTTAAAGTTCTCTTTCTCATATCAAAGAAATTATTTTTTCTTCCACTTATTTCTGAATTTGAACAGCAGCATCCTTAATTGGCCCCCAGACACCGTACTCTCTTTATGCCACCTGTCAACCATATTGGTCTGCATTATCCTTCCAAGCTGAGTTACCTACAACAGTACTTTCTCTGTGAGATTCTTCATAAACACGTAGTTTCTTCGTGAATATTCCTCTACATACTTGACTTAGTTTGGTTTGTCTAGAAGCTGAACCTAAGGTGAGACTCATGGTCAGGTGATATATTAAAGGAAGGATTGGGAAGAAGACACTGAGATGAGCTAGGATGTGGTTTCAGGGAATGTCTAGTCTCAACTTGATCCAGGAGGGAGCTTTGGAACAAAATTGTGCCATAGACTATAGAGCCTGTCCTGCATTGAAGTAAGGGAACTGGGCTTTTGCCCTCGCTCCCCTGCATTTATTAGTGATGGGTCACCAGCTGTCGTGTGTGTGTGTGTGTGTGTGTGTGTGTGTGTGTGTGTGTGTGTGTGTGTGTGCGCACGCGCTACTGTGATCGTTACTCAAAAGTGAATAGTCTTTCCATTTAAGATAGGTTTCTTCCTGTCCGTCACATGCCTTTATGTTCTCAGGAAATTCAGTTCATCTGGAATACCTGCCTACCTCTTCACTGCCAATATGTGCCTCCACATACACAAACTCCATTTTGAACTCATCCTCTGCCCAAAGACTTCTCTTACTATTGCAACTTACTTATTTTTTTTGCCTCTGAACTTCTATGACAAGCTTATACCATTTCATTCAGTAATTTAAATATACGCTAGGAATAACAAGGCATGGATGAGTTATGTACAAATAAACCTAATTAGTTCAGTCATACCTAATAGTATTGCCTAAGTAATTAATGAATTACTCCTTGTATATTAGTTCTGTTTCTCCCACCAAACTTCTTGAAAGCAAAGACCATGTTTTATGCACTATTTGTATTTGACATCTTGTATAAGATGTCTTTTAGTGTCTAATAAATATTTGATGGGTACCAGCATTATTTTCCCAAATTGAAATCATTTATTCCACAAATATTTTTTGAGCTCTTGCTAAGTGCCAGGCATTGTTACAGATGCTGGGGACACAGCAGTGAAGAGAACAGATAAAAATTCCTGCCTTTGTAAGTGCTGACAAGGCATAAGTAGAACCATATAGTATGTCATGTGGAAATAATTGGTATAGGGAAAAATAAAGCCCATAAAGGAGATAGGGAATGCAGGAGTAGGGAATTGCAATTGAAAATAGAGTGGTCAGGAAAGCCTCAGTGAGAAGGTTATTCGATATCTGGGTCCTAAGTGTCCTAGGTAGAGGCAAGAGCCTGTGCAGTGGCCCTGTCAGGGAAGCTAGTGTGCCTGGAGCTGAGTGAGTGAAGGCAGACTGGTCAGAATTGAGGTCAGAGAGGTAGCAGGAAATGGGTAGAGGTGGGACAGAATTTGTAGGTCCTGTGGGTTACTCTAATATTTGTAATCAAATTTCAGTTTTCCTGGGCCTATAAAAAAATTGTGAGAAAGACTTGGAGAGTTTTTTGGGGGAAAAATGACTTCATTATTGGAAAGAGGGGCTCAAAGAAAGAGCAGACTAAGCCTCTCCCAGTCTTGATAGTGGCAGCTCTGCCTTTTCTTGCAGAAACACTGGCTGATTACCACTTGCCCAGTTCCTGTTCACCTCCACCCAAGAACTCCTAGGGGGAGAATATAACAGAGAAAACCCATTTGTGTTTGCTGAACTGAACATTATCAGCAATTTTGTTTTGCAAAAATTTTTTGCATTAAATATTGTGTATCTGTTCACTAAAAAAATAATGGAGGTGATTACCAGAGGGAAAGAGGGGTGGGGGGAGGTAGGAGAGAGTAAAGGGGGTATAAATGGTGATGGAAGGGGACTTGACTTTGGGTGGTGAACTCACAGTACAATATACAGATGATGTGTTATAGAATTGTACACCTGAAGCCTATATAATTTTATTAACCAATGTCACCCCAATAAATTCAGTAAAAAATAAAAAAAACCCAACTATCTCTTCTTTAGGCCCAATCTCAGTGTCCTAAAATAGAATTTAAGAGGGAAAAAGTAAAGTAAGGATGCTTGATTAAGGTTATTTAAACCTTTGTTTTTTCTATCTAGTCTATCTCTCTGTGATATCCCAAAAACTTGACTCACTACAATCTGGACATCTAATGAATACAGGGGTGTAAAAGATTTCATTTTCATTTGTCCTTTATCTTTGAAAAGGATTTGAAAAAAGTTTTTCTGCATCTGAAACTCATTCTTTTTTTTATTCCTTACCCAAGGACATGCTTAGAGAGAGAAGAGAAAGGGGGGAGAGAGAGAGAGAGAAAGAGAGACACATTGATTGGCTGCCTTCCGTATGTACTCTGACCAGGAATCGAATCGGTAACCTTTTGGTACATGGGATGATGCTCCAACCAACTGAGCCGCTCTGACCTGGCTGGAACTTATTCTTAAGAGTACTACAATTTGACAATGAAAAATTCTGTTTGAAATTATTTTTCCTCCTGTGGAAATTAGGCAAATGGCAATGTACTTATTTTTAAATATCGAAAGCCATTTTACCTGTGCTTTTGATCTGAGTCAAAGTGGATCATTTAAAAAATTATATTATTTTACCTAATAAAAGAAGAAAATACCTTTTTAAAACTCTGATGTCTAACAACTCTGTTAACTATATTAGAGTTGGAGTCTATGAGTAAGATTTTTTTACCATTTCAATATCAATAATTCTGCACATAACAGATAAACTTACCACTAACTTACTGTATGATTGGGGCAAGTTGCTAAACTTCTGGGCCCTAATTTTCTTGA